AACCTTGGGCAAGTTCCCTTACTCCACACGCCTGATAATATTCCCTCAAGAAAAAAAATAATAAACCGGACACTTCAATCGACGACTGTTTGTGGGACGCTGCTGTGCGCAATTGGCTCCAGCGGTTCGTCCACAATTCACTTTACAGTATATTCTGTGAAGCGCTTTGAGCCGTCTAAAAAGACGTGAAAAGCGCTATATCAAATGCAAGGATTATTATATTTCCTTGCAGATATGTGTTCCGCAGCTAACAGCTAAAACCCTGCATTTTTAACAATCATTTGTTCCTTGATCTGTAACATTTTTCAAAAAAGATTTTGCAAAATAATTGTCAAGCCAGAGTAATGTCCGTGCGTAAAGGAGAAATAGGAATTCAAAACGTATATGATCTGAGATAATGAAGCTACAACGTTTATGTAAATACAATATTTAATTGTGTTTTCAAAGGATTAGAATAAAGCTACAACTAATGTGTAAATATTAAATAGTAAGTATCTCCCACCATCTGACAAACATTGTGTGAGCTCTAGGACTCGGATTAAAACCAGCCAATCCCCTGGGATGGATGACCTGTACCCGGGTGAGTTTGGGAGACACGGCACGAGACTGTGGAGCTCTGACAGACAGAGAGTCTTAGAAGCCAACAATGAGTTCAACTCCAAGCAGACCCCAAAAGAGGCTAGTCATGAGTTAGTTATATATATAGTTATATATCTGACAAGATCTGAGTTGAACCCTCACCAGGTGGGTGGCAGGTACCAGAAATTCCCTGCGAGTTTCCCGGTGGGCTGGATTATGAATTATAGACACTGTATAAATTTATATTAATTTACATTAATATGACACATAAAAGAAATGTTTAAAACCTTTATAGAATGAGATTTAGAAACAAAGCGAGTGTTGTGGAGGTAAATACCATTGCTAAATTGTGCCTGCCACGTTCTACAAAAGCAATAATTCTAATTTGATGATATGGTGAGGCGTTGCCTTGCCTTGTGCAGAATACTGAAAGGTGTCAGTTTCCATGTTCTCAATGAGGGCAATGTGAAATGTCAGTAGGCACCAGCACAAATCATAAAATGAGTCCTGGTGTTTTTTTGGGGTGTGCAGGGGCGCAATCTTTCTTCCAATATATGGCTGGAAATAGATTTGCTGTCTCAACCTTGTTGGTCCACTACGGAACGAGGATAGTCAAAGCTGGGTGACTTCTGGTTATGTTAAAGTGCAGCTGAAAAGTTCCAACAATGTCTGATCAAGTAGCAAAAGTGCACAAATCGTACATGAGGTCACAGAAACCCGTGCAAAGGTGCAACATATTCCGTATAGTTTTTACAAAATAACTTCAACTTGGGAGAAAAAAAACTCTCGACTTCTGGTTAGTCACCACGGATTGCAATGAGAAGCAAAAACCTGCTTGAGAATGCTGCCGTGAGCCACGGCAGTAACTACTGTTTTAAAAATTAAGTAGCTTTAGCTCACCACTTCCAAGTAATCGTATTACATTAAATTGTAAACCATTTATAATTGATGTTTATTTCCTGGAGCATTTGTAGAATTAAAAACAATTATGGAGTGTGACAGGAGGATAAATCGTCACTGCCTTTTATGGTTATTGCCACTCAACCTACACGTAAAGGGAGCTAACAGGCTTGATCGGCATTATAGTGATAATTGGACACCAGCCCTCAGTGATAAGTGATAATTGAGCACCAGTATAAAGCTGGTCGCTGGCGAGCAGAGAGGGAAGTCTGGAGAAGATGGCTGTACAGAGGGAAAGCTTTGTTCAGGGAGACTATGGCTGGGAGTATTGTGAGCTGAGAATCAAAGATGGTATTTTTTTACATGAGTGAGGTGAGCAAAGACTGAGAGGGGAATTATATCAGGCCTGGCCTGAGAGAGGGAGGGAGGGATGGCCATGGGCTTGATTTCTCCCTGTTTAGGGAGATCTAAACACAGCCCTGTTTTTGCGCAGTCAGAGTGGGGAAGATTGGGAGGCGTGGGAGCAAGAAGCGGAGAGAAGATGAAGAGCAGTAAGGAGGAGGGGGTAGTAGCACGTGAGGTGTGTGCAAGCATGAGAAAGTGCAGAGAGAGAAGCCGGAGCAAAACCAGTAGAGAGTGAGTAGACTTGAGCGGAGAAGGAGACTGACTGGATGAAAAGAGAGGCAGTAGAGAGGGAAGCAGGGAGAAGTGAAGGCAGTGAGGAGAAGGGAAAAGGTGAGAGAAATGTGGTGGAGAACGTGGTGAAGAGCAAAAAGCAGAGCAAAGGAAAGAAAGCTGCTGTGAAGGAAAGTGAGAAAGCAGCAGAGAAAAGGGAGAAAGATGATGTAAAGAATGGGAAAGTGATGGCGGGGTGTGGAGCAGACAACGACTCGCATTTACATAGCTCCCTTCAAACCGGGGGTAGCGTCTGGAGCAGATATGGAGGCTGGAGAAAAGGTGAAGGGAGGAGCGAGTGGAGAGGCCGCAGCGGCCATGGAGGTTGAAGCAATGACAAGAGGAGCTGGGGCAGAGAGCAGCGGAGGAGAGCGGGGAGACAGTCCCTGGGGCTGAGGAGAGCAGAGGGCAGCAGGAATGAGGAAAGAAGGGGGCAGAGCCTCCGGACAGTGCAAGCCCAATGCCCCGGTAGTGAGGAACGATGGACGTGAGAGGGCGGTAACAAGGAGCAGCAATAGCAATGGAAACAGGAGCTCCCTCTCGGGATGGTGGGGTGACCTCCAGCCAGGGGAGCCGTGGAGCCCCCCGCAACTCCATAGGAAGAGGATTTCTACATGAAACACTCCATCCCATTCAACGTCTGGGAAGGAGTGATATACAATATAGACAGGACAGCATTCATAAAGGGAAGTGTTGATGGGATGCTGTGTCACACTGAAAGGTAGTTTGAAGGTGTGTGTACACTGACGAGGGAGGGGAAAAAAGGAGGTACAAGGTGACGTGTGACACGTACGAGGAGGCAATGAAACTGAAAGAGATCGTCCTCCGGAAACACAGAGAGGAGGCTCTGCCCGTATGAAATCGATGCTCCCTTCCAGGAGCAGATCAAAATCCTTACTAAGGATGAATGATTCCCTAGTCCTGTGTTCAGACATCCTCACCTTCAAAAGCATCACTGGTTCAAGCCACCACACTTTATCCTCTCTATCTGTGCACTCCTACAGGACACTTCCCTCTCATCCGATCAGTTCACTGGCTTCAAACAACAGTGACTTCTGTCTTCAGATCGTTCCTAGTAACACAACATGGGGAGTCCCATCTCTAACCCTAACCGTACACAGTGGACATACAAGGTGGACTATGGGAATTTCTGAAGCATCTGTCGACCCTATAATTCCTGGCAGAAACTATTTCTCCTCAACCCATCTTTAGTGCACCAGGGTAAGATCATACACAGCATCCTCAGCCTAGAGATCATAAGAACTAGGAGTAGGCCATTCCGCCCCTCGAGCCTGCCCCGCCATTTGATAAGATCATGGCTGATCTTCTAATCTACAACAACAACAACAACAAGATTCCACTTATAGAGCGCCTTTCACGTCAGGAGGACGTCCCAAGGCGCTGCACAGTTGGGTCATGACCCGAGCAGGGGGAAATGGTGAGGGGAGGGAAGGGAGGGAGAGAGGAGGGGGGAAATGGTCAGGGGGAGGGAAGGGAGGGAGCGAGGAGGAGGAAGAGAGTCGAGAGGGGAGCTGAAGGCACGGTCAAAGAGAAAGGTTTTGAGACCGGCCTTGAAGGAGGAAAGGGAGGAAGCAAGGCGAAGGCACTGGGGGATGGAGTTCCAGAGCCTGGGGCTGAGAGGCTGAAGGCCCGACCACCGATAGTAGGGCGGTTGGGGCGGGGGACGTGGAGCAGACCGGAGCCAGAGGAACGGAGGGTACGGGCAGGTAGGTAGGGGATAGTAGGTTGGAGAGGTAGGAGGAGCAAGGCCGTGAATGGCCTTGTAGGTGAGGATGAGGATCTTGAAATCAATCCTCTGGGGGATGGGGAGCCAGTGGAGGCGAGCGAGGGTGGGAGTGATGTGGTCCCGAAGCCTGGTGCGGGACAGTACACGAGCTGCAGAGTTCTGAATGACCTGCAGCTTGTGGAGGGAGGTGGCGGGAAGGCCGGCGAGGAGAGAGTTCCCATAGTCCAGCCTTGAGGTGACAAAGGCGTGAACCAGGGTTTCAGCAGCGTGAGGGGTGAGGTAGTGCCGTAATCTGGCGATATTCCGGAGGTGATGGAAGGCGGTGCCAGTTGTGGTGCGGATGTGAGGGAGAAAGGACAGCTCAGGGTCGAACAAAACGCCGAGGTTCCTGACTGGCTTTGAGAGGTGGAGAGTGCAGCCTTGGATGCTGATGGTGTCAGCGCCTGACATTTACCTGCCCTATCCACATATCTATCTATCGATCTCAGTCTTGAATACGTTCAATGACTGAGCATCCACAGCCTTCTGGGGTAGAGAATTCCATAAATTCACTACCCTTTGAGTGAAGAAATATTTTCTCAATTCAGTTCTAAAGGGCTGACCTTTAATCCTGAGACTATGACCTCGAGTTTTAGATTCTCCAACCGGGGAAACAGTCTCACACTATCTATCCTGTCAAGACCTTTAAGAATCTTATTGTTTTTTATAAGATCTCCGCTTAATTCTTCTATATTCTAAAGAATATAGGCCTAGTCTACTCAACCTCTCCTCGTAGGTCAAACCCCTCATCCCAGGAATCAACCTAGTGAACCTACAATGCACCCCCTCAATGTGAGTATATCCTTTCTTAGATAAGAACAAAACTGCACAAAATATTCCAGGTGCAGTCTCACCAAGACCCTAAACAATTGCAGCAAGACTTCCCTACACCAACAACAGTTATATGTGTACTACTGTTGGTGTATATATCTCCTGGTCCCAGACCCTTCCTGTACCATGGTGCATACCACCAGACAAGGAGGAGCCTCTGGCTGTCCGTGCACACTTAGCTTCTTGGACTGGCATTCACTCATTTCAGAAAACTGCAGAATTTCCAAACTCAGATTAAACAATAAATTGTTTTAAATTTATTCTTTGCACTGCTTCGGAATCCCACAACCTGTTTCTTGAATACATTTAAAAGTTTACCTGTGAATATGTGGTCGACTAGACATTGAATGATATTGATTCGTCTGAGAGATTGGTGTGACAGTGAATGTTTGGTTGGTGCAACTCAAGGTGACTGCCAATTCACAGTGACAATGACGTTGAAGTGGATGTTGTGACACACAGTAACTTTGAGGTTGAAGTGGTTGGTGTTATCACAAAGTGTTACTGTCACACAGTTCAGTCCAAACTCCCAGGTCAGGGTTAGAGACAGAGTGAAGCTCCCTCTGCACTGTCCATCCATACTCCTGGGTTAGAGACAGAGTAAAACTCACTCCACGCTGTCCGTCCACACTCATGAGTCAGGGATAGAGACAGAAGAAAGCTCCCTCTACACTGTCCATCCATACTCCCAGGTCAGGGTTAGAGACAGAGTAAAACTCCCTTGACCATGTCTGTCCACATTCCTGGGTCAGAGTAAAGCTCTATCTGCACTGTCCGTCCATACTCCCGGGTTAGAGACACATTAAAACTCCCTCCATACTGTCTGTCCATACTCACAGATCAGGGTTGGAGACAGAATAAAGCTCCCTCCACATTGTCTGTCCAAACTCCTGGGTCGGGGTGGAGCCAGAGTAAAGCTCTCTCTACACTATCCGTCCACACTCCCAGGTCAGGGTTAGAAACACAGTAAAGCTCCCTCTACATCATCTGTCCACACTCCCAGGTCAGGATTAGAAACATAGTAAAGCTCCCTCTACATTCTCTGTCCACACTCCAGAGTTAGATTAGAGACAGAGGAAAGCTCCCCTCTCCAAAGCCCTCTTGGCGACAGCCATGGGGACTTAGAGCAGCTGGTGGACACACTCAGTGCCCGGGAATTGCGGTAAATTCAGGTCGTATTTCTTGTCCAGTGCCGGTGGCACGAAGCGGCCACCCAAGTAATGATAACGACCTCGGAAATACCGTGCAGATTTCTTAGGAGCCGTGAGAGACACGAGCAGGTCGGGCTGGATCCCAGTGATGCTCCCCTTCTCCACATCCCAGCCTGAGAGAGAGAGAGAGTGTGAGAGTGAACACAAGAGTATGAAAGGTCCATACTCACAGGTCAGGGTTCGAGACAGTGTGTGAAAGAGTGTGAGGGAAACAGCATGTAAGAGCAGAGAGCAACTGTGAGTAAGAGTTTTTGAATGTGAGTGAGATGCAGATCATCCAGAACTCTGCAGCCCGTGTCCTCTCCCGCACCAGACTCCCTGACCTTATCACCCCCATCCTCGCCTGACTCCAATGGCTTCCCATCACACAAAAGATACAGTTCAAGATCCTGGTCCTCACCTTCAAAGCCCTCCATGGTCTTTCTCCCCCCTACCTCTGCAACCTCCTCACTCACACCCTACCATCCTGCTCGCTACTTCCGCTCAGCGGGCTCCGGCCTATTTCATGTCCCCCGCCTTACTCGCCCCACTTTTGGAGGGCGGGCCTTCTGCCACTCTGCCCCCAGGCGCAGGATCTTTAACGTTGGTCTGTACAGACACAGACGGCAGCTCAGTTTAAGGTCTCATCTGAACGATGGCATCTCCGACAAAGGGGTGTTCCCCCCAGCACTGCGCTGGAGAGTCAGCCTGGACTGTGAGCGCTAACATGGGGAAGGAAGGGAGCAAGGGATGGAGGGGAGGAGCGAAGAAAGGAGAATGCCAGGGTCTGTGCTGACCTGAGGGGATGTCCACACTGGCGATGGGCACTGTCACCTTCTCCAGGGTGCTGATGACAGAGGCAAACGGCTCTCGCACCTCACCCCGAAAACTGAAGCCAAAGATCGCATCCACAACAAGGTTATAAAGCTCATCAATCACCGAAGCCTGAAAGAAGAGGAAGAGAGAGATAGGGAGAGACAAAGGGGAAAGAAACAGACAGGGTGGGGGGGAGGGAAGAGAGACAGGGAGCAAGATAGGGGAGCGGAAAAGAGAAATATAGAGACAACGCATCACTGTCGATCCTTAGAATTCCTTGGCCTTCCCACTCCCCAGAGCCTCCCCTGTAACCCCTCCACCTCCAGAGTCCCTGCCTCGGAGCCCCTGCCCCTCACCTCTGCAGGCAGCTGTGTGAGGAAAGGGATGTCCATCTTCTCACACTGGATGGTCAGTGACTGAAAGAGCGCCTTACTTGGCCGTTTGGGATAAAAAATCACCGGCTCGTAACCCTGCAACAGAAATCATCAACATTCAACACCAATCACACTCCAGACATGGGGGTGGGGGAGGAATTTGCCTGTGGGTAGCATCGCAGATTCCATCCCATGCCCCCACCCATGCTCCCACCTTCTAGTAGGGAATGAACAGAAGCGAAGAATCCTGGTACTCTGTCTCTAACCCTGAACTGGAAGTGTGGACGGGCAATGTAGAGGGAGCTTTACTCTTGTTTCTAACGAATCTGGACGGATAGAAGGAGAGACTTACAAAGAGTTTGAGGTGTCGAGCACACACCAGGCCATCTCCGCCATTGTTCCCAGGGCCACACAAAACCAGGATGGTGGCCGGCTGCCTGAGGAGACTGTTCGGTGGATAAGTCTGAAAATACCAACAAAGGGGGACAAAGGTGAAAGTTGAAGAAACCTGTGGCCATAACCACTCCAACCCTCCCCTGCTCCCTCCCTCCCTCCCTCCGCCCGCCACCCTGCCCCGCTCCTCTCGCTCCCACCCTCCACCTCTTGGCCTTGGCCTGAACGCCGGTAAACTAACCTTCGCCACGGCACTGGCACAGCTGAGGCCCGCCAGCTCCATTAACTGATCCACACTGAATTTATACTCCTCGAACAGCTCCTGGTCGATGGCTTGTGCCTCCTCCTGCCTGAGACAACAGCAACAACAACAACTTGTATTAACGTAGCCCTTCACGGGGGCTTGGGTGGGGGTGGCGGGGTGGGGGGTGTAGGGTCCCGCAGCGCTCGAGTCCACTCCAGACTCGGGGAGATTTCCAACCTGTAGGTGACAGGCAAGACCCGCGGAGGTGGGCACTGACCCCGCGGGGGGCCACGGGCTCCCACCTGGCGAGGGTCCAGGCCAATCACGGCCGGCCAGGGGTCAGTGCGAGTCAAGGCATTGTCCGGCCGCGGCAACGACAACAACAACAACAACAACGTCGACAAATCCGACGACGACGACAATCCCCGCGCCTTCGATATCGCGCCCCATCCCCCGTCTCCCACCTGACCGGCCGCGCGGGATAGGCGGTGAAGTGTAGTGACTGTACATTTTGTGGGCGAAACTGCGGCAGCCGACTGGTCTCAGCGGCGAACCCCACAAACAGCTGTGGGTTGAGAGACCAGGTTACTGTTGTTGTGGTTGTAGTGGTGGTTGTTGTGGTGTTGTTGTGTTGTTGTGGTGTTGTGTTGTTGTTGTGTTGTGGTGGTGTTGTGTTGTTGTGTTGTTGTTGTGTTGTTGTTGTGTTGTTGTTGTGGTGTTGTTGTTGTTGTTGTTGTGTTGTTGTGGTGTTGTGGTGTTGTTGTTGTTGTGTTGTGTTGTTGTTGTGTTGTTGTTGTTGTGGTGGTTGTTGTTGTGGTGTTGTGTTGGTGTTGTTGGTGTTGTGTTGTTGAGCTGTTGTGGTGTTGTGTTGTTGTTCGCGTTGTGTTGTTGTTGTTGAGTTGTTGGTGTTGTGTTGGTGTTGTTGTGTTGTTGTGGTGTTGTTGTTGTGTTGTGGTGGTGTTGTGTTGTTGTTGTTGTGGTGTTGTTGTTGTTGTGTTGTTGTTGTGTTGTTGTTGTTGTGGTGGTTGTTGTTGTGGTGTTGTTGTGGTGTTGTTGTGGTGTTGTGTTGTTGTTGTTGTGGTGGTGTTGTTGTGGTGTTGTTGTTGTGTTGTGGTGTTGTTGTTGTGTTGTGGTGGTGTTGTGTTGTTGTTGTTGTGTTGTTGTGGTGTTGTTGTTGTGTTGTGGTGGTGTTGTGTTGTTGTTGTTGTGTTGTTGTGGTGTTGTTGTTGTGTTGTGGTGGTGTTGTGTTGTTGTTGTTGTGTTGTGTTGTTGTGGTGGTGTTGTGGTGGTGGTGGACGCCCGGAGTCGGGGCCCTCACTCACCCGAGGTAGCGGAGCGGCCTCTGGGCCGCGCACTGCATGGCTCTGAGCCCCGGCCCCCAGCGCCAGGCGCCGCTGCCCCCCTGAACCACGGACCGCGAGCACAGCAGCGCCCCCAGACCCAGCACCGCCCGGGCTCCCAGTCCCAGCCCCGGCACCGCCCGGGCCCCCAGCCCCGCCCGGGCCCCCAGACCCAGTCCCAGCCCCGCCCGGGCCCCCAGTCCCAGCCCCGCCCGGGCCCCCAGTCCCAGCCCCGGCCCCGCCCGGGCCCCCAGACCCAGTCCCGACACCGCCCGGGCCCCCAGACCCAGTCCCAGCCCCGCGCGGGCCCTCAGCATACAGACGGCCTCTGTCACACCGCCAGAGACAAGCCCAGGCCGCGGCTCATCGCCCCGCCCCCTCCTCGACCAGGGAACCAATCAACATCTGCCAGAGGCCGCCCCGGAGAGTGATTGACAGGAGCGTCACACGGCACCGGGAAGCAGCCCGGACACCAGCCCCAAATAGCCCAAACACCAGCCCCAAATAGCCCAAACACCAGCCCCAAATAGCCCAAACACCAGCCCCAAATAGCCCAAACAACCGCCCCAAATAGCCCAAACAACCGCCCCAAATAGCCCAAACACAAGCCCCAAATAGCCCAAACACAAGCCCCAAATAGCCCGGACACTAGCCCCAAATAGCCCGAACACTAGCCCCAAATATCCCAATGCTACTGTTTATCGGTTCTGACGAAGGGTCGTGGACCTGAAACGTTGCCTCACTTTCCTCCCTCTGTGTAGATGTTGGCGCTGCCTGACCTGCTGACGGTTCCCAGACACTTCAGTCTCTGTTTTATACTATCTATATGTCATTCCAGGCAGGACCTGGAAACACAGACCGGTCACTGGGGGCAGGGAATCCCAGCCCCCCCACCACCCACCGCCCCCACCCTGGGCTCCTGTTAACCCTGCAGCCAAAGCCCTAGTGGGTCGGGTGGTCTTGGCTGCATTTGGGACAGCGCTTTTTGAAACTGTGTAAGCAAAGGTCTTCAAAAAGCCGGTGGGGAGTGTTGTGGGATATTCACACCTGAGAGCTGTAAAAGCGCTGTCTGGCAAGCTACTCGTTAGGGTGTTGGTTTGCAGGGATAACAGGAGTTGAGCGGGATGACTCCCTGCCTTCCAGGTCCTGCCGATGAGCCACGCTGGGCTGCGATACCAATCAGCAGTGCCCCGGAGCTTAAAAAGGTGGATGAGGAACAGCTCCTTGGGATAAGGATAAGGATCAAATTAGAAACCATGCCAAACAAAATTGGAACTAAAAATTTTAAAAGTCACAATTCCCTGGTGAGGGAAACCGTAGAGGAGACGGGTGAGAGCTTCTGTCGATAATATTCCAAACGTCTCTAGAGTCTGGTCAGTTGGCACATGTGATGCTTCTGTTCAAGGGCCAGAAATAAGTTGAGGAACTACAAGCCAGTTAGCCTGTCAGTTGTGGGTAGTAACAATAATAACCCTTGCATTTGATACAGCGCCTTATCACGTCTTCGAGTCGTCTCAAAGCACTTCACAGATTATACTGTTAAGTGAATTGACTGTATATTTTGTGGGCAAAATTTGTGGTCGTAAACTTTTAGAGGAAATAATAAAGGACCGGGTCAGCAAGTACAACAACAACAAATTGCACTTACATAGCGCCTTTCACGTTGGGAGGACATTGAGATAGGCATGAATTAATCAGAGACCGGGAGGGGGCAGGACATTTTGACCAATTCTTTGAAGAAGTAACTGAAAATGTAGCTCAAGGCAATGTTCTGGATATATGTTTGGATTTGCAAAAGGCCTCCTAGTGCTGATGGAGAAGCCTAGCGCACATGGAATAGGAGGAAACGTGGTGGGTTGGACAACAGAGTGGCTGAAGGCTAGAAAGCAACGAGGAGGGCTAAAAGGATATGTTTCCAGTTGGAGGAAGAAAGTTAGTAGTTTGCCGCAGAGGTCTGTGCTGGAGCTTCTCCGTTTATCTAATGAACTCGACTTGGATATAGGGGGTTCGGTAGCAAAGTTTACAGATGATATCAAGCTAGGCAATATAGTAAATGGTGATGAGGATGGCAATAGACTGCAAAATTTAAACACAACAGGCAAATACAATTTAATGAAGGAATATGTGAAGTCATTCACATTTTGGTGGAAAAACAAGGGAAGGGAGTATATATTGAATGGTAGTATATTGGGTTCTCCCAAGCCTCCCTTATTTATGTCTCCCTACTCCTCTGGTTCCTTCCACTCTTTCGAGTACCTAACCCTATGCCATAGTTCCCTTCTCCCCTTCAAAATTCCTCAAAGCACGTGTCTCCTTCCTCATAGACATCTTCCTCCTTCCTCACATCCCTCTGCCTCTGGACTGAGCCCTTCTTTATGTTGGGCAATCTCAACCTGCAACTAAACTCCTCCTGCCCCATCGCCTCTAATTTTGCATCCCTCCATTAACCTTCCCCTCCATATCAACCCCCCACCCACAACCAGCCCACCAACTCAATCTCCTGGCTTTAATACCCCTGAACATCACAGACATCCGACCATTTCCTCATTTTGTTCTTACACATCCCTCTACTCTCCACCAAGACTTCCACCAGATAATTTTGTCGTACTGCTGTAAACACTTGTGAGATACAAGCACCTCCCTCCCGAGGCAGTTGTAAAGCTGTTAAACAATTGTCTCTCCTCCACTTTCGATTCACTTGCCCATTTTAAATCCACAGATATCAGTGATGGGATGAGACTTTTTGATTAAGAAGATATTTTTAGTAAAGCTAAATCTGGATACCTTTACAAACTCAATGTATATGTCTTTACAAGGTTAAATGTAAGGATAATTCTCAACAAAAAGAGAAGGGATTTGGAAACAGACTAGCAACCTATAACCAACATCTTAAAGAAGGAAGACAAAGATCCAAACAATGGTCAATATATGATCTACGCTCACAAAACAACAATCCGGTAACAGTCAAAATTCTCATAAAAAGGGGAAGAACTGAGTTTGGGAATGAAGAAGCCAAGTGCAAACAATCTTGAGGAAAGAGAGATATATAATAATAAGAATTCTTGCATTTGATAATAATAATAGCGCCTTATCACATCTTCGAGACGTCTCAAAGGCCTTCACAGAATATACTGTAAAGTGAATTGACTGTATATTTTTGTGGGTGAAACGTGACTGCCATTTGTGCACAGCAGTGTCCCACAAACTGTCGTGGATTGAGTGACCAATTTTTTTAAGGAATTATTACCACCAGAAAAGCGATCCGCCAATCGACTAACAATCAGGTTCCTACTTACTGCTCGGTAACAACAACAACAACAAGATTCCATTTATAGAGCGCCTTTCACGTAAGCAGAGGTAAGCAGAGGCGTGTGGAGTAAGGAAACTTGCCCAATGTTTCGCCCTGCTGGGAACCAAACCAAGTTCTCGCGCTTGCGAGGCGAGTCCTCTAACCACTGAGCTACAAAACACGATGACAACATACAATCAACATGGATCAATGCACTTTTACAAGTCAATTTCTCCGTTAAAGCTACTGCATCGATCCAATTAACCACTGCAGTGAACTTTACTAACCTGTCGTGAGCATTAATTTGATTTGCTGAAATGCATAACTGTGATATGTCCAACCTTACTAATCTTTATTAATAATTTACTAATTGAAGAAAGCTGAAAGTTTGTGTCAGCTCATACTTCACCACAGACAGGTCCCAAATTTAATTGAACCTTACACGTCCAACCTTTTGGCCACTGGGGATAAGGCACAATGGTAATATGGTGACTCAGGTTAAGAAACAAACATTAATTCAGTCGCGGTGCTGAATTTCTTTCTTTATATTGTTGTTTTGCTCAATTTAACAGTGATTAAATTAACGCCTCGTTGACGGGTAATCTTTAAGTTTATTGTAATGTGTAAATGATTTAGCTGTTATTGGTTTCTACAGTGATAAATCCTTTTTTTAATAGAAGGAATGAGAGCCACCAGGGATTGAGAATGGAAAGAAGAAGCATTCTCATCTTACTGTAAATATAGAACTTTGTTAATTTAGGTAAATTTGTCCTGTCGATAATTGTTAATGTGATTTACAAAGCTACACAGGGTTTACTGTAAAGTGGTTTTGACTGTGTAATTTGTGGACGAAATGCATCAGCCAGTGGCACAAACAGCAATGGAGTTAAGTGATCAATTTTATTTAGGTAAAATTAGGTGAGAGTTAGGGCGAGGTCGGCACGCAGAGCGACAGACAGGTGAGAAAGCTGCGGTGGTGTTCCATTAATAAATGTGAAACAGCATTACATTCATATTTAACATTTTATTTTATTGGATCTTGAATTGAAACTGAAAACTTTGTCTGATGTAATTGTTGTTCTGCTGTAAACAGCTCTAAGATCAAAGCCACCGTCCTAACGCTGGTGTGTGGACATTCCTGAGAGGAGAGTATCTGGGAGACTGTTTATCACACCTGAGTAAGCGATCCATTTAATTCTCGGAATTCACTCCCATTCTGACTGGATTTCAGTCATCGTGGAGTCCTGTCGGCGTAAACAGAGGTGTGTGGAGTATGAAAACTTGCCCAAAATTTCGTCCTGCCTGGGAATCGAACCCAGGTCCTCTCGCTTACGAGGTGAGTGCTCTAACCACTAAGCTACGGGACGCCGCAGATATCTGGGAAGTAAGGGCAAAGGAGTGTAGGGAAAGGGCATGGAGACGGGAGGATAAATATGCCATGTCCTGATAAACAGGTGCAATGTTCCCACGTCCATCAGAGAGCATAACTCGTGGGTACCATGCATTACTCGTGTCCTGCCACCAGAAGGAGCCATGCAACTGTACAACAATAAGGGAGATTATAATAATAATAATAATAATCCTTGTATTTGATATAGCGCTTTTCACGTCTTCTCGACGTCTCAAAGTGCTTCACAGGATATACTGTAAAGTGAATTGACCGTATATTTTGCATTTTTATATCTCATCACATGGAAATGTGTCAATTGGCTTCACAATAATTCAAGATTGTTACATGTTCTGACTGTGTATTTGTAGGTAAATACAGCAGCTGTTTGCGAACCACAGGGTCCATCGGCAAGTGGTGAATAAACAATTAACATGGAGGATCCTTGGTCAGGACACCGT